ATGGCTTGTTATTATATGTATATATTTTTATGGTGTAATGTCTCGGCTCTGTTTTTAAAAATGGCGCTTGATTTGTTTTCATTTTCCTGCTTGTGCACGAGCGAGTGATGTATCTATGTAAAACTGCAGCGTTCAGCTGCGCGTCTAGCTCCGCCTTTTGGTACCCTTTTGTCATGTTAGGTAACCTTTACAAAGGGTACCCAAAAAGTACCGTACTGTACCGTAACCACTCAGTGCCAATACCACTGGACCACAAACAGGCCAATAGTATCCCCAACAGTGAACCGTTAAACATGGTAAACAAATCTCTGAATCAGTAAATTAAACAGGTTAGTCCAAACCATGAGGAGATTTTTTGAGATTCTTATGCACTTAGATCAACATATAAAAATAATAATATTAATATTATTTTTATTTTTTTTTAATCACAAAATGGACTTTTATGGTGTTTTTCTTTTCAATATTCAGATATAAAACTAAACTGAAACAACAACGAGCTTAAATGAAATCCAGCTAAATATTGTCCGTATTATCTTCAATAAAGCCATTTCATAATTGCTGAATTTTGTTTATTTACACCAAGAGTTAACTATACAAAAATCATAACAATACCTATAATATCACTGGACCACCAGTGGATGACACTATTATGATCATTATAAGTTTTGCGCAACAGCTTCACATACTCAACCTCTTTAAAGAATAAATGGATTCTGAATGGCTGCCAATGTTTTTGTCATTCATCAGCTGGAAAGAAAATCAATAACTATCTGACTATCATTTGTGTGTGCCATTAATGTTTTTATCATTATAGTCTTTCCTGCTTATTACCTTAATATGAATCTTGTAAAAGCATTAAAATAATATGTCAAATCTACATGTCAAAATAGACAACATTATTTTGGGGCATGACACGACTGACAGATTAGCAACACTCACATCTCTAAATAATGAAAAATGTGGCCAGGATGTGCCTCATAAAGCATCATTTTTAAAAAGCCTTATCTTTTTAGCTCCACAAAAAATACAAATATTGATTAACATGATCACCAAAGTATACGTCAATTTTAATCATAAGCAAAAGTATATGTTAGTATGTAAAGCTATTTTTTAATCCTAATTTTTGTCCTAAAATCCTAAAATGTATACTGTACATTCAACTTGCACATGAACTTTTAGGACACATTTACACTGAATGGAAAGAATGGTCTTGTATCATGTATTGTAAGCTGTATAAAGATGTAGACCATTTTTCTGAAGATGCAATAAAAACAGCAGTCTAGACGAGGAGCGTTTTCATTATAAAAAGTTATTTTAAAATGAAAAAACACTAGTGTAAATGCAGACTTAATAGTTTTTAGCTACTACAAAAAGAAACAAGAGATGAAAAATGAAGAGATTTTGAAGATATTAATATACAACTCTAGTGTAAATGAGTTTAAAGGCATTTTATCGCTCATAAATTCTGGAGAGAAATAGCAAAAATGTACCTTTCTAGAAAGCATGCTCTGTTAAATACATTATACTACTTCATTTGAAGATGCACGTTTATAATTGTACACCTAAATAATCCTGGTAAGTAAATAATAACATTTCTTTAGGGGTTAATTGATATTTCCTCTGAATTGAAACATCCACATTGATCAACTAGGACTGCACGATATTGGAAAACCTGATATTACAATATTTTATTTTTCTGCAATAAATATTGTAGTATGAATACAATTTCACATGATAGTTTGAATAGCACTGTTTGAAGGTTTTCTTGGGAGCCTGCCAGTATTCTGAAATGAAATAATCACAACGCAATAAATGCTTTTCTTACTTTGTCTAATTTATAGTCCAAATATCTAAAAATTCTTAGGTCAAGTAAAAATATTGTTTTGTTTTCAACTTGAGAAGAAATAAGTCAAAATTAAGAGTTTTTCCTTAAAACAAGTGATCTGCCAGTGGGGTGAGTAAAATAATCTTGTTTTTGCTTTCAAATAAAGATATTTGGACTAGAAACAAGATGAAAATTGTAAGTAGAATTTTTTTTTTGCAGCAATTGTATATATTTGTATAAATACAGTTATTAAATACAACTACATGGCACACAATGGCTTATAAACCAACATCCAGCATGCTATAGACCTGAACAGTGCAGTGACTTTATATCCAAAGAAAAGAAGGATATCCAAAGAAGCCATTTCAGAGAAATCTGTGTATTTGAAACTAATAAAGACAGAAGAAGTCAATGACTTATTTTAATTATTTAGCCTGACATGTTTATTGTTTCAAGATATTTTTAATGTAAAAAGAAATATGTTCAATGGGGAATATATTTTAGAGCAGTATTTACAATACTGTAATACCGTAAAAACGTGATATTTTTACCCAAGGTTATCATACCAGCAGAATCTTATACCGGCCCATGTCTACTCAACATTGTATACCTTGCGATGTAACTATTGCAGGTGAGCACTTTCCAATACTGATTCTGAAACAATGTATTGTACAGCCTTATCACCTATTCTAAATACCCAAGGTGGATATATACGACCTCGAAAATTGTTATAGCCCTACAGAATATCCCACAGTTTAGTGGACTTGGTTTTAGCGACAAGCGAAAACAGAGGCAAACAAGCACCCATGCCAACAGGATTCTTGGCAACGCTCAAGCACAATGCAAGCCCCTTAATCCACTGATATGCCGTATAGCAAACATAGCAATAAAGCACTGTGGTATACCCAAAACAGGGCCCCAAACTCATTTGTCTGTACAGCAGTACATTTATTGAGGCTAAGCTTCTAAGAGACTACTGTTAATGTTGGTAGGACTTATATTCTCCCATACTTCTGAGTCACCGGCTTGGTATGATGCCCAGAGGAGAAGTCTAGTGAATGTGACTAGGACAAGAAATCAAAGCTCCGGCTGAGACGAGACTCCAACAAAACATGGCGGAGACAGACACCAGAGGCCACTGTCTCTTTTGCTGGATACAGAGAGCCACTCTTATCTGACAATGTAGAGGACACAGCTTCTGGAGAGCTTGGCAGATCAGATGAAGGAGAATGAAGGACTACTCAATCAGGGAGAAGGACGAAGGAGTTTTAGATTGTGTGCAATGTCAATTTTATTTTTACCACGGTGCATTGAACCACAGGCATCCTATTTAAAGGCAATGCACTAGAAACCGGGCGTCTGGAGAAAATGAAAACAGCATGTCTTCTAATAAATGTAATTTCAGCAATTATAAAAACTAAATGGGTGGCAGAAAGATTAAAACATTTTAATCTGGTAATTACAGTTTCAGCAAATTCTTATTCTTCAGAGAAATTTATTACAAGCCTGTTTAACCTCATCCTTTGTGTCAGTGTGCAAAAAAAAAATCTTTTTTTATAACCCATGAATGAATGAATGACTGAATGAATCAATGAATTTCTCCAACAGATCCGCTTGTCATTTTGCATTATTCGGGAGGGGAATCAGGAACTATATCTCGAATAATGCAAATTAGGATTTAAAAGAGAGTCGATAAAAAAGGGAAAGTGGATGTTGGGGGAGGACCTGGAAGGCTCGGAGGGGTGGAATAAAGCCAGTGTGAAGGCAATCAAACAGAAGTAGGGCTCTCTGGGATCCCAAAATGTGCAGGGAGCTCCGCCTCCATCCCCCACACTCCAGGAGTTATTAAGAAGCAGCCAATCGGCATCCACAGAGGCGATCTCTTGATTATTCACACCCCACACAATGGGCACTGAGCCCTCAGACACCTTCATAACCCAATTATTGATCAGTTCGCATGATTTACGAGCTGATAAAATGATCAATCAAGGCAGGAGATGCAACAGACGGTCTGCAAACGCATCAGATAGAGACACAACTAATAAAAGCATTGTGTGGAAAGGCAAATAAACATATAAGCAGTCTGTCAAGTCCCTAAGGGCATTATTTTTTCTCTTTGATGTAAATTATTCCGGGGATAAAGAGTCTCTGAAGTATTGCGAGGCTGCTTCTATTCCTGAATGTGGCATTAAATATATAAAATCTTTAATAATGCAAGTTTATGCAGCTGGGGTTAAGATTTCCACTGCAATTTTGTGTTTGTGTGTGTGTGTGCTCCTTTAAAGATTTTCATTTCATCTACACGCTCGGGCTGTCGCATCAGTGACAGCAAAGCCACCCCCCGAAAATGTTTATGGACTCTCTAGTCCTCCATTTTGCTCCAAACATGAAAGGTGAGCCATGTTACTCGGTAGCTTTCAGCAAAGTTACCATGCAGGCTTCTGCAGACTCATGCACTATTGTTGTTTCTTTGCGGCAGTGCACCTTTAAAGCTAAACCAAGTACATCACCTCTGTCTGCATGGCCTTGACTGCAGCATGAGCTTCCTAAACAGAGGACTAAGCAAACGCTTCAGCTTGCTCAAAGTCTGTTTGGAGTGGTAGACTAACCGTGAATGAACTCCCACCTAATTCTCAATTACTTACACTTGGCTTTGAGTTAAACAAGGTGATCGCTAACACCCAAACAATGAGTCCTTAAGAAATCACACTTAAAAATCATGTAAGCCATGCTGTCCCTGATCCAAGGCAAACAGACTTTTGTTTATTAACATTTTAGCACACAACTCAATGTCCGACCACAATGTCGACTTTTAATAGTCCATTTAAAAATGGCATCAGCTGTTTTTAATGACAAGAAAAACTTGTACGGGTTGTTTCATCCCGTTTCACCCAGCTTTAGCAAGCCGATTTGATTGATTAGCATACGTAAATGACTGTGATCCATCTACAACCTCCCATAGCTTTTGGAAACATTAACGTAGCAGGGTAATCTGGTCAAATCTGCTGTTTACCAAAGGAATAAATGCATAGTTATTGCATACTAATCAGCTCACAAAACCCACTGCCGACACAGCAGCTGCTAGCACAAGTAACTGAAATACACAGAGAGCCATGGAGAAGGGATTCAACCATGCCTAAAAGCCAATCCTGCAAACCCCAATGCACAAAATTACCTTTAATTCCAGTCAGAGCATCCCAGACGTTTCAGAGCAGCCCGTGCAAGGCAAATGCGAGACACAGCGGAGCAGAATCCGCAAATGCCACAAAGAAAGCCTTAGTGATTTTTGAGCGTCCCTCCTTGGAAATCCTCCTTGCATTACTGTGGAAGTACAGTGCCTGTCCTTAGGCAAGTGCGAGGAAACTGTCTCTGCCGTCTGCAGTGGCCTCCATGTCCTCCCATTGTTCAAGGGAGTGTGAGGCAGGCATCCTACCCCAATAGACCCAGCCTACTACAACAGCTGTGGGCCAGACCCCCACCTCTCCTCTGAGTGTCTCTCTCTCCCTCCTCCAACGGCTGCAGCTAAACATTAACCCTGCGACTGCTGGAGAGGCCATAAAAAGACAGGGGTTATATTTCAAAAAGGCACCAAGAACAAAGATGACGATGGGGACGGATATCCGAATGAGCGCGGGGACGAAAAATGGAGTTTCCGGGGCCAACTCGGCATCCTGAGCTTCTTTTCTAAGAGGATTGAGACTGGTTTATAAGACTTGCACTGATTGGATTGCAACTGCAGATAGTGTTGTCAAATGTAGAGCTGCATGACCAAAAACTGACCTGGACAAATAGCACAACTGAAATAAAAAGATGCTAGTGTCAGGGAAAATTAAAACATTACACAATATTTTTCTAGTGTACATTTTGATAGTTGACAAGTTGTCCAATACATGGGGAGTGAGTTTGACTTTATTTTAGCTTTCATATTTTTATACTGCAAAAAAAAAATGTATAGTCCTGTAACAATATTTTGTTGTTGTTGTTGTACAATATATTGCATTAAAATATATTGCAGTAAACGAACAAAAAAAGTGCAAGTGAAAATATAACAGAGGCTGCGATATGTTACCAGATCTGCTTTCAGTTGTCAGACACCCACATGAAAATATACTGAAGCAATTTATAGTAAATACTATGGTGTTTTTTAACCATACTGACACCTCCAATAGAGACAGAGGTTGTGCAGTCAGCTAAAATGTTGCTAGAATGGGTTATAGGCACAGCTTCTAGTGTTTTTCAGGCAATGATGAACTTCCGGTGAAAGCTTTGTGACTACTTTCGATTTCATACGGTTCCTTTTGCAGCGTCGATGTTGTAATGTAATTCAAATATAATCAGTTAAATACGCTTAAGCATTCATTTGGTTGTTAAAGCGTAAGAAGAGATGAAAAAACGCTTAAAAAGGTGCAGTCATTAGTAGCAGGCAAATTCCATTGAAAATACTGGGGTAAAATTAAGTTCCATATTTTAAAGACATGCCGTGGAAAAATCTAATTTAATACAGTGTTTCTTGTTTGGTCGGATACACACTTTATATCGTATCGCTGTTTTTTAAAAGAAATCAGATCTTAAATGTGGAGATTCTGTATTGGAGGCCAATTAACTAGAAGCCCTGGGGCTGGCTGACTGAAATTAAAAGTCTGTGTGCATATACCCCATTGGTTTTTCTGTATGGGCGATATGTATATATATATTGCATCACCAGAAATGATTGAGATCATGTCCATGTGTTGTGCGATAATTCAATATACTGATTATTGTGACAGGCCAAAACATTTATAAATATAACATGAAAAAAAAAGTTGTCTCATTTTTTGGTGAAATATCATATTTCGAATACACATTGTTATTGCAGTGCAACTATTGCGACATAAAATTCAAATAAATCTATTTTTTTAAATCAAATAAAATACAAATACTATAATTAAAATTTAAAAGGCGATTCCTGAAACTGTATTCTAAATAAAAGTGCATAGAAACATTTCTAATAAAATACATGCAAATACATATATATACACATAAAACACATTAAAGACAAAATGACTAAAACTTAAACAAAATTAAATTACTGTTACATAGTAAACAAAACAAATTAGACAAAATATTAACAAACCATACATGTATACACACAAATACATACTAGGGGTGTAACGGATCACGGATCAACCGTTCAGATCACAAACCTCAGTTTGTAACACACGGGAAATGAGAAATAATAGTTTTTTTGAACTTGTAGGTTAATCCAATATTTATATCAACTGAAGGTAGATCGCCTCCTGCGTCATTCAAGTCAAGTGTATCAAAGCATTTTGGCTTGATTTAAATGACGCAGGAGGCGATCTATCTGCAGTTATAAATGTTGGATTAACCTACAAGTTAATCCTTTTTTCAGCTGGTTTCAATAAAGAAGCAGCTGAAAAAAAGGAAAATATTCATATTGAATATTTTCCTTTTTTTCAGCTAGTTCTTTATTGATTTTTATTTTTATTACAGGTTTTAAGTTATGTTTGTTAAAACCAATGGTTTTTGCAGTAATATTTTTGTATAAACGGAAAGCAAATGACATGTGTCTCTACTACTAAAACCTAAACAAAATTAAATTACTATTACAATAAAATATAAAAACATAAATAAAAACAAAATTAGAAAAAAATATTATATTATATTCATAAATAACATACAAATATGGACACATATATACATATGTATATAAAAAATTATAATAAAATCAAATCACACATATCTAAAAATTAAGACTTTAAAAATTAAAATTAAAGTTTTAATACATCCAGATTAAAGAATTAATTTCACAAATAACTGAAATTGGATCTGAGTTAAGGTTATGGATAGGTTAGTCTGTTTTTTGCTTTGTTTTTTGTTTTTAGAATTCAAACAAGGCATTTTATAAAAAGAAAATGAATACAGCCCAATTACAAATGACTGTATTATGTATATTGTGACTTAACTTTACCTTCATTCCAGGTACATATTTACCGGTAAACACAAAACAGAAGAAGACTTTCATAAATCTTCAGCTAATAAAGAAACCCCTAAGCAATCAGAATAACTAAACTCTCGCAGACACTAAAGCCTTATCTACATATCGGAGTGTTATTATGGCTCCAGGGCTGATCTACAAGGCCGAAGTGCTGAAAAAGCTCGTCCCTGACCATGAATGAACGTCAGATCATGCCCTCGGCAAACACCAACTCATATGTGCACGCCTGCAGGAGGAATCTCATGTGAAGAAACTGACCGGTGTCAGTATCTTCACACGAGATGACCAAATTGGATGAAATGACCCACATGCAATGGGGTCACATGTTGTCTTGGAGTCGACAGTAAAAGGGTGAGATCTTCCTGGACAAAGGCCCATTGTGATCCTTTAAACTCCACTTTCACGTCTCGAAACACCCATGAGGGATAGACTTACGGCATTACATACAACCGTCCCGATCTATAATGAGGTGCATTGTGACACGATGGGTCTTAAATGTCAGGAATCTGCTCTTATTGGGAGGTCGTCTCTGCTTTCCAATGTGTTACCAATTCACTAGTCAGCAGTGACATGCAAAGTGGAGCACACTTGAAAGCGTCTGTAGGCCCCAGGTGCCAAGTGACATTAACATGCTTGTAACAGTTCTGCCGAACTACATCTCCTTAAACACAGCTGGACGTTTGGCCCAATTAGAAAATCTCAAAGGAAGTAATGCAGGCAATTACAGTTCAGGACTGTTGATTGAGCCTGACTGAGCAATATATCTGGAGTATTGCATAACTACAACAACATTGTGATTCAATAGAGCTGATTAGGGAATCGTGGATTCTGTGTGGGAGTCGATGAGAGAGGGATGATACTGAAATTTTCTGATAACTGAATTAGATTGCACAGATGCAGAAAAAATATTGGGAGTGCAGATATGGATTCATGTTATATTATAGACCAGCAGTAATTGGAGTTTTTTAGTCATCATTTTTTAGCATTTTTTAATACTATAATTGATTTAATAGTATAATCTATCATATTTACTGTAAGATATTATAACTAATTAAAGGCAACTTCTGTCTTTCTACTTTAAAACTTAAGTTTGTTTAAACTTTTGCTTGCTGTTTCTTTGCAGTTCATTTTGAGATGAACACTAGAATTATTATTTCAGAAATAGTTACAAATATTTGTTACGGTAATACAACAAAAGATTCTGAACTAGCAGTAGAAGTTAGTAGTTAGGGCTGTGCGATTAATTAAAATCGAATCACAATCGCGATTTGAAACGTTGCGATAGCTAATCACAAGAGGCTGAAATATATATGGAGTATATCATTTCCCCCATCCAAATCAAATGTGTGACTGCCGTCTGTGTGTGATAGTCTTACTAGCCAATTGAGTGTGCACACTTTCATTCTGCCCAATCAAAATTGTGCAACTGAACTAAGCAAAATGCCCACAATAAAACAAACAAACTAACAGGAAAGCACGGACAAGTGGGATGATGACATCTGCTGCTTCAGATAAACAGCACATCAGTATTATAGGAGTATTATAGGAGTATTTTGCTTCCAAAGTCACAGTCACCAAACAAAAGCAGGTAATGTGTCATAGCCTTCGCAGAATTGTTGCCACAGTATGAGGAAATACAACAACCAGCACCTAAAAAAGCACCACAGGCAGCTATAAGAGGAGTGTCTTGCTAAAAAAAAATCAACTGAAAGTATTGCCAGTGACACTCAATACAGTAGCTAGCAACAGCAGAGTACAATTCCCGAGTTGTTTGCAGCTACTGCACCATATGAAAAAACATCACAAAGCCACCCAGAGACAACTAACGCCACATCTCATGACTGTTTGCTCTAGAGAAAAATTAGTGTTTCATTTCTGAATATGTATAAACAAATTTGAATAAAAGTTGCAGTTAATGTCTTTTCAGTTTATTTTTTAACTAACACTCACTGCATTTTAGCAGTAAAAAGCTACGATACAGAATATTGAGCTGAAGTTTGAATACAAAATTAAATCACAAATCAAATTGAAACCACAATATCTGTAGTAAAAAGTAGTCTTAGTAGTCTTGCTGTTATTACTATTATTATTAATTTTTTTTATCTCAGATTAAAGTTATTCATATTTCATTATGCAAATAAAACCAAATACTATCAAAATCATATATTTAAGAATTTATGGTCACACGTTTCATTTATTAACAAGAACAAAAATAAACAATACTTGTACATAATCATAGTTCATCAATATTTACTATTGCATGATTAAATTCTAAAGTTGTGTTTGTTAACATTGTTAATGCACTGCGAGTTACCATGAACTAACTATGAACAACTTTATTTTCATTAACGAATGATAACAAAGACTAATACTTAATAAACGTAGCGTTTATTGTTTGTTCCTGTATGGGTTGAACAATACATCATTTTAGCATCGATATCGCAATGCATGTTCTTGCCATAGTCACATCGCAGGATTAGATCATTTATTAAAGATTAAAAGATAAAGATATTATTTTCAATTATGTATACAATGATGATGACCATGCTATTTTACATTTGATTGTTGACTTTCTGTATTTAAATACTGTTGGACTCTGCAGAAAACTATAAAAAACTGTTTATTTATTAACTT